CATATGCATGAAGCTGTTAACTAATTGCAATATTTTTCATTAAGACCACGTTTTGAAGCTTTGCAGTCATAACTGTCATCAATACTAATTATAGTAGACATTTTATTGGAGATGATTCCGATATATCGGTTAAAACTGTAAATAGATATTTAAATAGAAATACTTCTTTCGACGAGTACTAAGATGGGCAATATTTTCAAAACACGTGCGTGGATTTATGGCTTTCACTCATGTCAAACAAATATTGTAATGTGGAAGTGAAAGAACATTTTTTTTATATTTAGTGTACCGCCAATGTTAGTATGTAAAGAAATTAGTTAGCAAATAGCTTTAGTAATATCTACCTAAGCAATTACATGCTCGAGTATGTTTGCCAGTTATAAAAGCTCAACACTTGAGTCGCTTTACCTAGGACGAGTTATCTCCTCTGCGGCGCAGTAATGCATTTTTTAAGAACATTTGTTTGCGCACTGGCAACAGCGATTCTTGTGGCGACTATTACTGCTGTGAAGGAAGACACAACAGATTTTCCAAATCCAACAACAGCGGATAATATCAAAGATGAAGTAACTGAATATGTTTTAAAAGGAAGGGTACCGAAAGCGCTCTCAGATAAATACATTGTAACCTTGGTTAAGGTGAGACTATTTTGAAAATGAAATTCCCTGGAAAACTTAAAAAAATAATAATAAAATGATCTCTGTACTCTCACAGTTGAATTGGTATGCAGCTTATGCTTATTGTGAGCAAAATAATTGGCGACTGTACGGATCGAAACGGCAAAGAAACAATTTGAAGTGGAGAATTATTTGAATTTTTTTAGTAAGACAACTAGTTGGCTGCCATAGAAATTTTTCAAATACTCGTACAAATTTTGGTACACTAATTTGGGGTTTTTTTTTTTTTAATCACAGATCTTCACTACAACGATTATTGGATAGCCGGCAATAATTTCGCTGAACTGAGAAAATTTCGCTGGGACTATGATGGACCTTCGTTTACACATACGAATTGGGCATTTGGTGAACCGAATAAATACAGGGGTGGAGAGTATTGTGTGAAATTGCTTAAGAATTCTTTGCAATGGGGTGATGATTACTGCTTTAATAGTTACAACTTTATTTGTGAACGGGAATAATTTAAGATGTTGTAGAATAAAATGGGTCAATCGAATTTTATAAAACTAGTTTTCCTTCATACGAATGTTACTATGAAATTGGGTGGCTCTACTTCGAATCAAATGTAGACTCTTTGTTTTGTCACTTAAAGCGAATTGGAATTGCTTTCGCCGAATTCGACTGGCAGATGTTTTTTTTTTATAAAAAATAATCTTCCCAGAGATGTATTTGCTATTGCCAGTCGAGAGTCAAAACGACTAGGAAAGTGCGCAACTCAAACTCCTACCAGTATGTTTAACAAAGAGAAGTGCGGGGTGCTCAAAGTTCCGCAGGCAGCTGATGTCCACTACGGAGAGCTTTTCGGGAATGTTGATGAAATGTGCACCGAATTGCTTAAAATCTAGCGAATTCCGGCCAGCTGAGAAGGAAGTACTGAGTTGATTCCACCTCCTCTTCCAACCTGCTGCGGCAGTAGGGATCCCTGAGGATATTAGGTCGCACCGCGTGGGTTCCTAAAGACCAATGTCCAATCAGTACACCTGTAAGAATCGAGAGCTGGCGCTTAGCAAGCTGGAGCAGCTTCCTGTCGACTGTGAGCCCATCTGTCCAGGAGCAGGCTTCAAGTTGCCAACAGAACTGCTATGCCCTCCCTGTCCGAGGTGATGACCGCGAGGGTGCCCTGCCAAGCCAATTCATCGCACCTGCAATTTCCAGCGATGTTACTATGTCCTGGAATTCCAATCAGCGCTGGACTTGGAAGTATTCCGAGGCAGTTGAGAGAGAGGCCAGGCATCCCCCAGCAGTTTTGATCGTATCATTAGTGACCCCAGCGCTCTGATTGCTGCTTGAATTGGCAGAGTAGATGTTTACCCTTCTAGTCAACAAAAGGTGGTACTTTGAGACCGGTAGGCCACTGAAAAACAGAGTCCTCTCTCGAAGATGTCTAACAAAGATGATAAGCGCATAAAACTACAACGATTTCGTTGGCTTGGACATGCTTAACGCATGGATGACGACGCTCCGGTGCAAAGATTCTTCGACTCCGCACAAATTGGTGGGCAACGAAAGCAAGGGCGCCCACGAACACAATGGAAGAACCATGTGCACAACTCTGCAAAAGAGAGAGGCAAGTGGCGTAGTTTTTTGTTCTCGACCCAAAACGACAAACGGTTGGCGGCCTCATTTATAGCAGCCAACCCTCCCTCAAAGGCGCTGTAGAGATCCGTTAGTCTGACAATAACATCGATTGAAATTTCCGGACAGTAGACACCTCCTCCAACTCTCCCGTCGACTTGAGATGCTGTTGAGAAACAACGTTAGAAATTAAAGAAATACCTTAGTTCTTAACTTAGCCTCAAGTTGATCTCAAACCTGTGAATGTTTTTTGGGTATGTTAGGATGATAACAAGGCGAATTCATATAAGGTAGTTTTCCGGATCGTTAAATGGAAATAAATGAATAAATTAAAAATTAGCAAAATGAAATTAATGTTTAATTTCTAACCTAACATATGTATGTANGCCTCAAGTTGATCTCAAACCTGTGAATGTTTTTTGGGTATGTTAGGATGATAACAAGGCGAATTCATATAAGGTAGTTTTACCGGATCGTTAAATGGAAATGAACGAATAAATTATAAATTAGCAAAATGAAATTAATGTTTAATTTCTAACCTAATCTACATATGTATGTAACTGAATCGCATGATGTTTCGCCGTGGCATACACAAATGTTTACATATCTAATATTATGGGTACATATCTGGTACTCTGGCCTTTTTTTAAGATGTTTCGCTTTTATCACGCGTATGCGCCTTTAATTTATTTCATTTTATTTTATTTTTATTTATTTTTATTTGTATATTGTATTAGATTTTTCATTACGTATTTATTTAGTCTATTTTTTATATTATTTTGTTTTATTTAATTTAATTTAATTTTATTTTATTTTATTTTTATTATATCATAATTTTTAGCAAGCAAATCGGCTTGCACGTAAACTCATAAACAGAGAACGTATATAAATTTATATACGTTCTCTGCCTTAATGGTTCTCTGGAAAATTATAGACAACGTAAATCTAGAGAGCGTAAACAGATTTACGTTTAACTTGTGGAATGCAATCCACACACACCAGTGTTCCAAGATATCACAAACAGATGGCGCGCAGCAGAATTATGCCGATAAAGCAGTGTCAGAATTCCGTTAAAAATTCGAAAGTATAAATTAGAGAACGCTGCGCTCTTTTAGGGGTTGTGTTAAGTTAAACGTACTTACATACATTCATTGTACATACGTTTATTATTTGGTCTTCTTTTGAAAAGTGTGCATTTCATCGCTTACAGATTTAATTTCGACTTTTTTCTTTTTATAAGTAGATAAGATTTATTTATGTAATTCGGCATTGTCACGTGTGTGTTCATATACATATGCCTCTGGCATACAAATGTTTGTATGTATGCATGCACATATCTACATATCGACACCTTAAAAGTATCCACACACCTACGCGATTCTGTCGCAACGAATCCGCGCCGTTTTTGATGCTACAGACGTTACTGCTTCGAAAACGCCAGTACGCACACATCTGTGCGATTTTATCGCAGTAAAAACTGTCAATTTAAATTTAAAAAAATTTCAACAAAAATAAAATTCTTTTCTACATCAAATATTTTTTGTTTTATTACGTTAAATTTTGTTTTAATAATGTAAAATCCTTCTATTGACCTTTTTCGTTGTCAAAACGCGGCAGTCTGCGATTTCGGCACGACGAAAAGAAGAACTGCATGTTCGAATAAATCGCTGCAGCAAAATAGCATAAGTATGTATGTGGTTCCCCATTTATAAATATGATCGGCATTGTTGTAATTTTTGTCGGAACAGNTTCGAAAACGCCAGTACGCACACATCTGTGCGATTTTATCGCAGTAAAAACTGTCAATTTAAATTTAAAAAAATTTCAACAAAAATAAAATTCTTTTCTACATCAAATATTTTTTGTTTTATTACGTTAAATTTTGTTTTAATAATGTAAAATCCTTCTATTCACCTTTTTCATTGTCAAAACGCGGCAGTCTGCGATTTCGGCACGACGAAAAGAAGAACTGCATGTTCGAATAAATCGCTGCAGCAAAATCGCATAAGTGTGCGGTTCCTCATTTAAAAATATGATCGGCATTGTTGTAATTTTTGTCGGAACAAATTCGCACCGACATAATCGCACATATGTGTGGATGCCTTAATTCACAAAGGCCCTAACCAGCAAAGTTTTTATTTTACAGGAGAAGCAAAAAACAATATGAGATGAGTAGAAAAACAGTTAGAGTTTTTTAAAAAGTGGCACGTAACTCCCAGAGCTGTGTAATGATTGAATCAATTGAGTGTGCATTCTCATTTT